GTAGGGGATGTCTCCACGGTAATCGATACCCTCAACTATCATGACCTTATTAGGCAAATATGCTTCGATCTGGTCTCTTCATGGCGGACTTTTCTGGGTGGCGGATTGCTTCCGTCTGATCTTCCTGGCGTGAACCAGATAGCGTAGTGGGTGGAATGGGAATGTTTGGCCCGAAAAAAAGTGCGCATACCTCCTATGCCATTTCTTTTTTATCTAATGATAAAAAGGCTCTGACACAGTCTCACAGGTATCAGGTCGCACCTTCAATCTATGAGGACCTCGGGAGCTAGTATCCCCCCAACCTTCCCGTTGGGGGTGCATTTTGATCATGCTGACATGATTACCAGAAGCCCGCCTCTCCCGGATCCCTATGTCAACCAATATCTAGTATATTGCCTGGTGAGACAAGATATAAGCCACCATCGAGGTACGACAGCGGGTAGGCAAGCCGTATGCTAGATATTGGTTGACATAGGGATCCGGGAGAGGCGGGCTTCTGGCAACGGTTATGTCCATCTTGCAGCAGCAGTATCCTAAGTATTGGTACTGAGCCCTGTACTCGTTTCCAACAAGACGAGATCGCTTCGACCTCCAACCGTAATTCGCAGAACTTGTGATGATGACATTGGGGTAGTGGTAGGAGATGTGGCCATGATTCGTGTCGATGACTTTAGTTGTTTTTGTTGGCATGCTTCGTCCGTACATGGCGCTGTAAGGAGTCTTTCCGTAGATATTCAACACCGCAGTCCGGACATGCAAGAGAGGTCTTGACCTTCCGTGCAAGACAAGACGATGATGTCTCTTGATGCCGCTTGAGGTCTTTCTTTAATGTAAAGTCTGCTTTACATGGGCCACATTGGAATCTGAATGATGGAGCGGTACACTTGCGGTAGCGTTGGTGTTGCCTTTTACAAGTCGAACAAAAGTGAACAGCACGAGCTGAGCCAATCACTCTTTTGCCAGCGATATCGTCGTCTAAGCTGAGACCACTACTAGAGGGGCTTGCCGAAGATGAGGGTCCAGGCCCAAGTGATAAAGGAGTTGAGATGTTCGAAAACCATTCTAGGTCTGGTTCCGGAATACTACTTGGCGTCGGTGAATGGGAAAAAGGCATTGTGACGATGGAGGGATTGTGCGGAATTATGAAGTTCGTGCGAGACTGCGGTTGGAAGTTTTCGGCCGTAGCGGCGTCGTCGGCAGATAGACTGCTTTCTGGAAATGGAAAGTTTTGAGTTTCGTGAATATCCTTGGTTGACAGATCAACGTCAATGGGCTGCTCTAAGTCGGAAGACTCAGCAACAGATGTTCCCCAGATGGAGGTTGCATAGTACTCAGCACCTAGATATCCCACTGAAGGTTCCGTCCACCATGGAAATCCAACCCCTGAAGACTCATTATTACATTCCAAAGAAGTACCATATGGCTGAAAGTCGGCAAGCAAGCCTGATCCGTGTATTGGGTCATCAGGATCGAATTGTGTTGCTCCTGCTGCAGAGGATGGATGATAACCGATATGTTCTAAGCGATGATCACTGCTATACAATCAGTATTGCCGCTTCTGCTCATGAAGCTAGGTACATACTGCTGATGGCGTGTGATGGCGTAAGAGGCCTAGTGCTAGGCCACCCCGCTACCAAGCACCGTCAATGGATTAGGTAAGAGACAATCCCAAACCTCGTTGAGATTTCTGGCTGGTGCGTATGCGAAGGTATTATCGGCTGGACCTGGGTATGGGCCAGGGCGGCGAAGCCGCCCTTTTTTCTTGGGTGAGTTGAGGATAATAGATTTTGCGAAGGTCACTTTAACAAGAAGGAAGATGGGGGGAGGTAGAGATGCGTGCTCAATATATGACAGCTGAGACCTCGTACTGGTAAGGCTGGCGCAGATACTCACGGACGTCATACCAGCGTTTATTGGTGGCCGCCATCTGGAGTTTGCCTGGAACCTGGTAAGGCCAACACAAGGTAGCCTAATCGCGACTAGTCTATGGCCCCCTCCTAGGAAAACCAATCTGTTGTAGAGCATATCCCACGGAATCGAATGACCCAGAAGGTTTCGAAAATTACCTAGAGAAACAGTTGTAGCTCATTATTGGATATCACGCCAAGTGCCAGACATCCTCAATCGAATAGGCAAGGTTCTCAGTCACGCCATACACTGTGGACGGGCGCTATTAAAAGAGACCCCAGCCTGTGTCTACCTGCACCGTATGGTAGAAACACAGGAGGAACTTGGCCTCGGCCAACATCCACCATCGTCCACACTTGCTTACCTAGGTATGATCCTCGTCACTTTTATTTTGAGACGAGAAGATCTTTCCCTGAGTATGCAGACAGCTCGGCATTCACTACTCTGACATTGACCGGTGAGAGTCCAGGTTTCCTGATCAACCAGGATGAAGGCACCGAAACCGCGTGAGCTTCACCGGTCGGCGTGTCATGAGGTTCTCAGTATTAGGACAGATGTAATCGAGAAGGGCGGCCACAGCTCGTCATTGACATCATTGCTAGGCGCGATCCTCACATTTCATAAAATCCCAGCGATGGAAACAGCCTGTCATCCACAAATTGTTTGGCCATACGGGACTGTGCTCAGGATTTGGTCGGTCTGCAGCGGGGCCGGGCCACCGGGAAGTGGGCAGATAAGCGGCACGTCGCGAAATAGAACCCCAGCCATAATTGAGGGCCCGGCTTGTGCTGCTCATGATCATGAACGGATCTGGTGTGATGCGCTTCAAAACGAAGAAGGTTCGTTCCAAGTCATATCTCAAGACGTACGCAAAGGACATCCATTTTGTTTGATATCAGCCATTCGCAAAGACTAGGATAGTGTGTACTTGCAAGGTTATTGTAAAAGCGATGTGTGAAGACACAATGAAGTTCTACGTTGTAGAGCGGGACGCGATGATGGAGCGCGAGGCTGGCAGCCACGGTTACGCTAGATTTAGCCGCCGATCTGAATCGGACCACCAAGCAGCGCAGTACGGACGCGTGCAAACTGTTCACAAACTCATCGCAATCTACTCAAAAGCTCGTCGCATAATCAATACGAGGGTTCAGTCCCTGAACATCATGGTTCTGATGCGCAGTCATCAGCGCCACGACTCACGCGACACTGGATGGACTAGGTGCCGCCAACAATGATCTTTCATGGCTCCCAGTCGCTCAGGTACCAGCAGCATCTTCATGCAAGACGCAATCGCTAAAGGTCTCTCGGATACTGAGAAACGCACCTGGTAGATACGAATGTCGATTCGGACGCATATCGCTGCGACACCAGAAGACATAGACCAGTCGCCAAGAGACACCGCGGGCCGAGACGAGACGCGACACGACGCGACACGACGTTATAGCCAAATACTCAGCGCAAAGTTCATGTACCCCTTTATACACAGTCACGCCGCTACTAGCGGTGACCGAGGACAACAAGACGGTCTGAGACAACATGGTAGTATAGTGTGAAGGTAAGCATACGTTCGTTGAGGCACGCAACTAATCTGGCAGAAGTCTCGGAGTAAGCTTGAGAATACAGAGTAGACCAGGTTCGGGTCAACGATATGATTGATCAGCTGAATAGAGCGTCGTTAATATGCAGATTTACACAAATTCGACAACCGAAGCTCACCAAGTATCGAGGTTCTCTTTGCGCTTTACGGACAACTTTAATCGGTAATAATACTCTTTCGCTGTTGTGATACCCCATTACATGTTATAGGTGATCTCAGAGCTGCGGCCATATTTGTCCGTTGCCGTGCCTCACTCCGCAGGCCATAGTAAGCAGACGCCGTGCTGGATTGGTCATCAACCACCTCTTCGTACAACACTTTGAAGAGTTGCGTTACCACAGTTGCACAATAACGAAGTATTTAATACTTGATGTCGGTCCTTTTTCGGTTCAGACATAGTCAAACTTTATTTGCATATCTCAACTTCGAACAAATCAGCCATCTCTACTATGACTTCAACCACTGTCCTCATTACTGGTGCCAACCGTGGTCTTGGCCTAGGCCTATTGCAGAGATACCTCGCCCAACCCAACCACACGGTCATCGCTGGAAACCGTAATCCCGCGCATCCTTCGTCACAGGCACTAGCTAAGCTGCCCAAGGGCGAGGGCAGTAAGCTCATTGTTGTCAAGATCGACGCTTCGATTGAAGAGGACGCCTCGATTGCCATCAAGGAGTTACAAGACCACCATGGCATTGACCACCTCGACATCGTCATTGCCAATGCAGGTGTCGCATATACCTATCCTTCTGTAGCGGAGCTGAAGCTTGATGACCTCCGCGGTCACATGGGGCCAAACGTTTATGGCTTCGTCACTCTCTACCAAGCCACACGGGCGCTGCTCCAAAAGTCACAGAGAGAGCCCATCTTCACACCCATTGGGTCAAGTGCTGGTTGTATTGTGTTTGTTTATCCTCCTGATTTCTCTCTATACGTTCACCGTGTAAGCTAATTGCAAGCAGCAACCAACTCCCACTCCATAACGCGGCTTATGCTCCTACCAAAGTGATGGTACACTGGCTCACGAAACGCATTAATGGCGAGGACCTCTGGCTAAACGCTTTCGTCCTGGACCCTGGCTGGGTGCAGACGGATATGGGTAACGCGGCAGCACATTTGTACGACCTCAAGGAAGCGGACATAACTACTGATGCGTCTTGCGACGGCATGTTCAAAGTTCTCAGCGCAGCGACCAAGGAAAAGGATGGTGGCAAGATGATTGGCTGGGATGGTGGTGTTAGAGTTTGGTAGTAGGAATATACAGCTACGATAACCTTTCTGTTAGACAAGAGCGCGGTAAAGACCTCATTAGCCATGAGACACGAACTTGAGGTCAAGAGATACCATAAAGGTAGTCAAATGAGTTTTAAACTTACGCAGACCATGTCAATCAATGCTGTAGACTACTACCTGAGGTGCTGGAAATATGGCAATATCGAACACGCTGTTGTTCTCCGCGTCGAACTGTTTGAATCCGCTCACGGCCCAAACAGCTCACTTGTTCTCTTTACACTTCTCCAGACTCTTGGTCACAACTCCCTCAAGGATCCTCCGCGCCTCGTCAACCAGTTCATGCAGCTCCTTGCGGAACTGCTGGCCTTCGGGAGTGTCCTGTTCTTTCCTGTTCTTCTGACGCTGGAAAGCGGCGCGAATTGTCTTAAGCATCTCGACCACTTCCTTGCGCAACTTATCGCAGGTGTTTTTGATGAGTTTCTTTACATCCCCTTCAACTCCTTCGGCGATCGCAGCGAAAGGGCCATCAAGACCAACGACATTCTCTTCAAGATAAGCGTGGCGGACGTCTTTCAGCTTTTTGCCTAAAAACTTGCGTCAGTGGCCGTGTAGTAGCATATGGAAATGCATGTCGTTACCTTTGCCCGGCCTCTCATCAAGAGCCGCCCCGTAGATCTCATCCATTGCTTTGAAGAAATGGCCTTTGTCTCCAGGCTTGACGGCCTTTTCTTTTATAGCGATCAGTCCTTGGTGAAGTTCTTTCCTTGCGTTTTCGACCTTGAGAGTGTCCTCCTCCTCATAGCCGACACGATTCTTGCCGAAGCACAGCTGATAAGCGTCACCAGCCAAAGCCTGGGGGTCGTCTAAGACATGTGTCAGTACAAAAGGAGATGATGAGATATCAGTGAACGTACCTTTCAGTTGCTTGTTCAAGTCGTTAATAACGGTCTTGATTGTCTGTGCCATTTGGGCCTTCAGCGCTGCAGGTGCGGCATCGAGCACGTTTCGGAACGCGGCATCCATCGCGGTTTTCGCAGGTGCCAACAGCGAAGCATTCAGATTGTGATTGATCTTCAACTTCTTCTGTTGGTATGTGCCTAGATATCGTTAGCGAATAATTCTGCATTTCCAAATTTGGGCCACACCCACCTCTCTTATTCACCAATGCCTTATGCGAGGCCGCATTTATAGTGGCGAGTTCTTCGAGCTTCTTCTCGGCGTTTCGGTCGAACCTATCTTGCAGTTCATGGCTTGAGAGTGCGCTTGTAAGTTCATTGGAAAACGCCTTGACCCATTTATTCATGACACCACGAACCCGTCCTTCGGTGCCCTTTATGGTCTTATCGATGATCTTGGTAATGTGTTCTATCCTGGCTTCAGTGCTCTTACTGCAGCTCATCTGGACAATGCTCAACAACATTGGCACCTTGAAGAGCACAAAATGCTCTAGAACGGCGAGGCGTCCTTGTGAAGGTATTCCCGCGATATATCTGCATGCACCTGGAATTTGAGTGTCTTCGAGCTTCATCGTGGGAGCCTTCTTTAGGTTGGTCATGTTGTAGCCACGTCGATGCCGCATATACATTCGATTGGAGACGCAGAACGACGCAGCGCCCGCATCATCGCCAGTGTTGTGACTGTACATGCGACTCATGCCCGCGGCTACAAGCCTATTGCGGCATGCAATACGTACGTCTTTACGCCTGACAGAGTTAGCTTGGCCAAATGCCAATGTAGAGCAGGGCTTACTCTTTCTCCAGGGAAGCGACGAGTGGCATTGTAGTCTTCTTGCGACTAGCCAAAACCTTATTTGCTGCTTTGAGGGCGTCATGCTGGCTGCGTTGCTCTACAGTGGCGCTTCCAAGTTGAACACTGGACTTCAGTCGTTTCATATGATGCTTGTTGGCCTCAATCTCGTCTTCGATAGCTTTCAACTCGCTGGTAAGATCTGCGAGCTTCTCCTCGATAGGTGCAATGTTTTCCTCTGCGACAGGATCTAACTGAAGCGTACTGCCGCCATCGTCATTCAGTTCCTACAAGACATGAAGTAAGCATGAGTATAACGAACGATACAACAGGTGCACTTACATCAGCTCTAGTCGCTAACAGGATGACACTGCCATGGTGCCGCCTGCTATGCGCATCAAGATAATGCTGGCGGAAAGACTGATCGCTTGTCGCACGCTTGATGTCCACAACTACGATAGTCATTTCACATTGCTGGAGGTATGCGGTGGCAGCAGTGACGCGGTACATGTTGATATCTTTCGTGCCAGGAACATCGGCCAAGCAGATACTATCCTGTACCAACGGACTATCGACATAGTATCTGCGTTTGTTATCAGCGGCATAACTTGCATGTGAAAAAATGTTAATCTCTACCGTATGATCTCGACGAACGGCCATGGACTGAACTGTAGCACCTTCCCTTTGTAGCGTGCATTGGGAGCTCGCATTCGAAAGGGTCGAAGTTGCTCACGCATATCATTGTGCGTACTAGATTCGAAGGGGACGGACAGCTCTCCATCTGGCACAAACATGCTGTGTATGTCAACCGTCCACTGCAGGAATTTCTCCAACACTAAGTTGCCTTTTAGAGCTTTACTGGAAGACATAAAGTCCTCAACAGACTCTGGAGCGACGCGGGAAGCGAACAGGTGCTCCAAGCACTCCAATGCAGCATCTTTGCGCGCTCGGTCTTCGTCGGCGACACTGTCCTCGTCTTCTATAAGCCTCTGTCTCGTGGTAAGCCACACCTTGACCCAGTCCGTTACTAGGTCAATGCAATACTGGAGGCAATAGAATTGAACTTCGGCTTGCACTGCGCCGATATTGGTAGACAGAGTCTTCTGCCGGAACTCTGTAACGACATTTGTACATGCTGCCCCATTGTCGCCCTATAGGTCCGTGTTAGTGAAAACCGCTCATATTTCAATGGACAATAAACTTACCTCTGGTGTCAGGTCTTCACCAAGAAGAGCATTTGTTGTAGCGGACTTTCCGGTGCCAGTGTCTCCAGTCACAGCAATCCGGATTTCCTTTTGGTACAGGATATTACGATTCTTCAGAATCTCATTCCAGAGGTACGTAGCCTCTTCACCAGAGACTCCACGGTTCTTGGCAGCTTTTAGAAAGTCTAGGAAGACCTGCAATACAGCTTGAGTATCTTCCTCAGCTTGTTTGAAGCCGGGGTGGTACATCGGTAGCTTTGGACGACGCTGTTGAGCTGGGTCGTACGGAGGGACTTGCGAAGGGTCTTTCTCGTCGTCGCTGTCTTCATCGTCGCTGTCAGAGAATGTGTCGGAGACTGACACAGGTTAGTGTAATTCGCGGCGAGTGCAAGGTACATACTCTTTCGCTTTGCAGGTACAGCTGATTCTGCACCGCCGGAACCCCAGCTAAGGATAGCACGATTGGCATCAGCTTCGATGTCTCGAAGCCTCTGCATGTGTGGTGAAATGATGTGAGCGTCTAGGGTAGGATTATTCGTAGTGCTTGAGGAGGAGAGTGGAAGCATTGTAGCGACGGGTACGGATTGAGCTGGGCATTGTGGCTCGAAGATAGGACTCTGCGTGCTCTCAGGTGTCTGTTGTTGTAGGTCCTCCATCTGAGTGACATCTGCGGACATCGTCTATGGTTAGCCAAAGGCTGTAACTGGAAGGATAACAAGCTGAGGTCAAAGCCAGGCCTGGATTGGGTAGATTTAGAGCAACCAATGTTGTTCGCCGTGAGCAAAAGTAAAAAGGTCGAGAGAAAGAAGATGGAGAGTGGGGAGAGCTGAGAAAGATGCCTATGAAGGCCTATAACGGCCCATACTGGCACCATCTTCCGCCTTCAGGTGAGAGAGCGGATTTGAAGTCGAAGTCGCCTCGCTTTCGGCAAGGTAAGAGAGCGACAGCCTCTTCTGATATCGAACCCATCGCTCCTGTTATGTCAAAAGTATGCTAAGCTCCGGCAGAAGATCTTAACATGTAGCTTTTGACAGTCTTGCTACAAAGAGGTGCTACACCCTCAAGGTGTACAAGATGCTGTGCTTTGTAACATGCTAGTGCAACATACCCGGCCAACAATTTGGTATGCTGTGAAGCCATGGCCCATGGTGAGCTCTACCTTTATCTCTCCGTTTGCTCAATCTGGAAAAGTCACCGTGAACAAAATATGCGCAAAAAGCAGAAGTGTCAGCCGGAAAGCTACTGGTGCCTAAGTGTTGTATTGCGACGGTCACTGGACTTGTGCTTCAGTGGGTGGTGTGATTGTCATCGCCTGGCTTGCGTTTCGCTGACGGCCAATGCAAGATCCATACGTCAACCCACTGCCGGTCTAGACAACTAGCACCTGGATACCGCCCGCGGAGGTTATAGCGATATAACTTCTATCGTAATCGGGTCATTTGTCCCACCAAGGGTTAGTGGATGTTGAGGCTCATGGGTAACAACGCAGGTCAGCACGCTAGTCGCTGACCTCTGGTCGTACCAGCCACAGGTACCGGCGGACGCTATGGACCCTGCCATTTATCCTGAACTGCCACACTTGTGCCATGTAGCTCTCCCCGACTCTTTCTCCGGATCTCTCGACGACTTGTTGGTTGTCGTGCGCCGCCATGGCAATTCCACAATTGCGATACGCGTCAGCGCCAAGGAGATGGTGCCGATTGCCGCCCCCTTAGCCCCTTCGGTCGTCCCGTCGGGCCAGGATAAGGAAACTTGCAGACATGGATGCTTGGAAGGATTGCGACAACGCAGGAGGCCACATTCACCATCTCCCTGAATAGCGTCTTCTCTTCTGGCTCCTGAGTTTCGTATACAGGACGCAGATGCAGACTTCGACGGTCTCATAATAAACTTCCGCCGCCTTGACGCGACGCCACATTCTTTTGCAACTCCCAACATCTGCCCACCATGGCAATCCGTCCCCTCAACTCGAGCCTTATCTTCGACAGGCGCGTTATACTCGGTCTGACAGCAGCTGTCATTCTCGCCTTCACATTTGCCTTCCTCTATTCGCCCGACCTACGCCCCAGCTCAGAATGGCTACCACCTCTTAGCTCGAAACCTACGTCTACCTTCTCCGCGCCGTTGAAGAACACCGAAGATCCCAATATCGTTGAGCTAGACTACCTAGCTATCAAGCCCAATGTCACGGACAAAGTCAGGTCTTACTGGAACATCCCATATGCCGCAGATGCAGGAGGCAAGAACAGGTTTCGGGGACCACAACCGGTGAACAGGACGTATGGCATCGGCAGGGGCGAGAAGCCGTTGGTGTGGGATGGATCACTGGGAATGTGCCCAAGAATCCAGAAGATTGATCCAGCCCAGAGGAATAGGGACGATATCTCAGGACCGGACGTCTTGGGTATCCAGACTCGTTCTACCGAAGACTGTCTGAGCTTGAACGTCTTCACGCCGTTCGATGCTGAGCCAGGTGACGACCTGCCAGTGTTGGTCAACATCCCTGGTGGCGGCTTCCATCTTCCAGGACGCAGCAACGGAGGCGAGATGGTAGAAAAGGCACGACGCGAAAAGGGCGTAGATGGCAAACTCGACAAGGGCATTGTCGTGGTCACCATGTACTACCGCAACGGCATCTACGGTTTCCTCCCTGGCGAACAGATCGCAAAGGACGGCGACTACAACAACGCGCTTCGCGACCAGAGAGCAGCGCTGGAGTGGGTTCAGAAGTACATCAGGTATTTTGGAGGCAACCCAGACCACGTAGTTATCATGGGTACAAGCGCAGGCGGTGCGTCTGTGATGCTGCAACTCACCGCCAATGAGGGTGACAACTACTACCCTGTCCCCGGCACAGGTCGCAAGCAGCTCTTCCACGGCGCCATCGCCCAATCTCCTGCGAGTCCGACCTTCTTCACGGCCGAGCAAGCTGAGAAGTTTTACAACGAAGTCGCAGACGGACTGAATTGCACAGACATCGCTTGCATACGCGACGCCGCGACAGGCGATCTCTACTACCAAAATTACCCCATGAACTTCCCCGGCCGCGATACTCCACCCCGCTGGATGTGGGCCCCAACCACCGAGCCAGCTGGCGGTATGTTCACTGAACCTGCCCCAGCAGCCATAATGAACAACCGATACGCAAAGGTCCCAACCATCATCGGCTTTACATCCAACGAAGGGTCAGACCAAGTCAAGAAGGCCACCGACAATGAGGGTGAATTCAAGTCCTACCTCAAAGACCATTACCCGCTCCTCACCGACGAAGACCTGAGCACGCTCGTCAGTACGTACCCTAACGACCGACACTGGCCCGACAGCGGCGCATGGTGGGACGCTGTAGCGAAAGCCCAGGGCGACATCCGCTACATTTGCCCTACATACCTCGCATCCAACGCCATGTCCGAACACAACCCCGAAAACGTGCCTACGTACCAATACCAATGGGACGTGATGTGGGGTGTTGACATCCAGAACGGATACGGTACTAAGCACGCCGGTACCGTCGGACAGGTCATGGTACGCCGCCAAAACGAGATTTCAGATTACTTCATCAGCTTCATCAAGTTCCTCGATCCCAACCGCGAACATCAAGTCATTCCTCGGAAAGATGTTAAGATCGCCAAGTGGGAGCCGCTGGACAACACGGGTCGCAGGATGTTCTTCACAAACATCAAAGAGGGTGGTCACAGGGGTGACGGCACGAACATGCTAGGCCCGATGCGCACAGAGATGCGAACCAGGGACGACGAGAGGGAGAAGAACTGTGGTATCATCCGTGGCATGTTCAGAAGACTACAGTTTGAAGGTGTTCCAGCACTCAAGCTGGACTGAGTGTTTTTCGTCGCATATTGTTGCATTTGTAGGGGTTTCGGAGTACCATCGCGCTAGAAAGTTTCGCTGTTCCTCTCAGTTGTATGAATACCATATCCTTTTCACGTTCAATGTCGGTTCAAACGTGCAACAATGTTTTCACTCGCTTGGCATACTTATTAGTTGGTATCAAAAACTGTGCTACAAGCTAAGTACATGATGCTACAGTGAACCCCAGCCACAGTCTAGATCTTCTCGTATTCTACCCAGATCCACACACCCACATCGCTTAGCTTCCGCGCGTGTCCACGGATCCCGCACGATACGATAAATACAATCCGACTGCCATACCTCTGAGCCGCAGTTTGTGCAAAAAGAAAGTTCGAAGAATCCTGAGAATTGACTCAGGCACGTTGTCCCCTTCGTGGATCGAACACGATACCTCCAGATTTAGTGACTGAGACTTCAGTCTGGCGCTCTCCCAATTGAGCTAAGGAGACGGGTTTTTGATGAAGTTCTCGTGGGGATTCCTCCCTAAATCTCAAGCAACATCTCTCAGATCTTCTTTACGTGTGCGATTAGGTCTTGCACATCGCTGTGGCTCAGACTCTCATCATCATGACTCATGCCTAGCTCTTGTTTCTTCTCGTCTAGACTTTCTCTCTGCCCGTCTAGATCGCGCTGGGAGTCACGGTCTGGGGTAACCGCTTTTGTCTTTTCGTCCCTTAGTACTCGCAAATCGCCGGTTTCGACTGCAAACGGGCCTGTTGGTGGAGAATTAGTGGGACCACCACTCGTCTTTCGCGCATGTTCGACAACATCCGGTAGATCAGCTTGGGAGAGACTACCATCATCGACACTCATGCCGATTTGTTGCTGCTTCTCTTCCTCTTCCCGCTTTAGACGGCCAATTGGATTATCGCCTTCTAGCACGGGTGATTCTTGCTGTTTGGAATCTTTCCTGCTCACCCAGCGGACAAGTTCGTCGACGTCGTCGTCTGTAATATGCCTCTTTTCCTTGATTGGTTCAATTTCCTCGCGGCTTCTTGGGCGACCACGCTGCTCCTCTTCGTCAAAATCGTCAAAAGTCTCCTTGACAGGCGTAGACGCTGCAGACTCGCCGCTAGTGCCGTCGTGGCGCTTGAACCAGCGACCTAGTTCTGGTACGTCAGACTCGTAGTGCTCTCCTACATCAGAGTCCAGTTCCGCTCGTTGTAAGTTCCTACGCACTGGGCCTGCTTTAGGTCCGTCGCGATGCGATATCCAGCGTACGAGGTCATCTGCGTCCTCTTCTTCATCTGAAGATACTTCTCTGAGTTCGCTGTCAGACTCAGTGGACGCATCGCTATACCCCGAATGTCCGTCGTTGATTGAGCGAGTCTCTTTGGCGTCAGATTTTCTGCTGGCGAAACGAACAAGTTCATCAACATCCGACGGCCCAAGGCTCTCGTGGCCACTATCCTCTTTGGCCTCCACCACACTGTTGTCTTTTCGTCTTTCACCGTCACTGGGTGGATCCCGTCGACTGACCCAACGTACCAATTCTTCCACGTCAGAATGATCGATGCTCTCTCCATCACTCTCATATGGATTCCTTTGTTCTCCTTCCACGTCTGAAGAGGCCGTTGATGCCCGATCATTGAATTCGACTGGTGCGCCATCTTCCCTGATCTTCTCCATATTCCCCGCATCTTTTGTTGTCATCCTTCTTACCGTCATTCTCAGTCTGCTTCCAATTCCACTCTTCCCTGATGAGTCCTTCTCGGGTGTCCCCGTGCGGTGCATCTGGCGCTCTTCGTGTTGCTTATGCCACTTGTCTGCCGCGTTTTGTTCATTCTGACAGTCTTCCTGTGTGACAGTCTTCATTTGGTCTTCAATTCTTTGTTGGAAAAGCATGCTGCGAAGAGAGTGGAATCGCGCCATGTGAGGCTGTTTTTGTCTGGGCTTTGCGGAGTTTTCTCCGCTCCCACGTGCCGAAGAAGTTTTAGAGTGAATTGAACTTTTGCCGGTACCCGATTTCAGAGAACTTCTGCTTGGTGACAATGATGAAGGTCGAGGGTTCTGGCCAGCGATATGCTTTTGTTTGTCTTGGCTCAGCCGCTGAGGCTCGAGTGATTTCTTGGTATGTTGAGTGGAACGTTGCTCTTCTTGTTCAGATATGTCTCCTTCGCTGCTATCGCTGTCTGAGTGGTCGTCGCCTAATCCTTCCAATATCTGTGTGACTGCAGGGGACATTAAGCTGTTCATGCGACCCAATTGTTTGCGCTGGTCCTGGGGTATTTGATCTAGACTCGCAGCTGGCGCGGCCTTCTGGGACGGCGGGAGATCGAAGTATGACGCCATGACTTCTAGGATAGTTTTCTCCTCTCCAGTAAAGATGAGGCGTCTTTGGGTTCCGATGAGTGTGCGTACGTATCGATGCGCCAGATATGGAGCGGGATGAGAAAGGTCTCAGGTGAGAGGCAGTGCTCTTGGGAGGCTTGGTGAGCTGCAAGGTGTTAGGGTTGCAGTCCAGGCTAAGCCCGATGCTGCAAGTCTATACCCCGCAATTCTGTGATGTCACGGCTTGTGGTTGGCCCACAGTGCTGAATCAGCTGGCCTAGTGAAGTGACGATCGGCGTGCGTGCTTGGGCGACATCACCGTCTTGGAGTTTGAGATCTAGCGCTAACTCCCTGGTGCAACAGTTGCGACAGCCGTTGAGATCGGAGGCTCTTACTGGTAGTGACTAATCGCGATAGGTGGAAGAGCCTACCGATGCTGCGACAGGTGAGGTGAGACGGCACGGCAGGTGAGGTCGCATGCATCTTCCCGCCTATCGATGACCGGTGCTGTCATGTACGGCTCGATCCGCACGATCTATGAGCAAGCGCTAAGAACAACAAACTGGACGCAGATACTTTCTCCATTGCAATCCCTTCCTATTGGCAAGACTAGATTAGCCAAAGCTGCCAAGTGCAGTGGGCTGACTTGGAACGTAATGTCCGAGCAGACAATGGACCTCTCGAATATTCTACACGACCTGGCCAGTACGTCTACCGTAATGTTTAATTCCCTCCGCCTGGTTATATACGAGAGCGTTAGGTGTACCCTCATGGAGCGTGCTATCATCGATCGCACCCTTTGTCGCGGTACTAGCAAGATGTTCGCACAAACCTTCTACCCGTGCTCCCAGACCCGCGAAATACGCAGCTACGCCGACAACATGCGGAGTGGCCATACTCTGGACATGTTGAAGATCGTTAGCGCATGTAGCATTACCGCATCTCTTCGGAAGGTTACTTACGGTTCCAGATATAGTGTTGATGCCTCCACCAATCCAAGTGCTGGTGATCTCAACACCAGGTGCCAGAATATCGACCCGGGGACCATAGTTGGACCATTCGATGAGCGTACCATTATTTGCTGTAGCGGCCACGGTATATACAGTAGGTTCAGATGATGGAGATGAGTAATCAGCCAACGTGCCTTCATTGCCTGCGGCGACACCAAGGAAGATACCTGCCGCAACGATAGCAGCAGCCTAAATTGGTGTTAATGCATCGATTATGAATGCTGCGGACTTGTCACTTACAGCATCATTCATGACTTGAGATTTTCTTCCCCCAAGGCTCATATTGGCCAAGGCTCCTTTCGGGCAATCTCCGGCGTCCATACGCTCTTTTGCATCCGTGATAACAAACTGCATACCGGCAAGGACGCCAGCATTTGTACCGGTACCGGAAGAGTCCAGCACTCGGACTGCGAAAAGAGTCGTCTTCTTTGCCACACCCCATGTGAGGGAACCGATTGTGCCAGCAACATGAGTACCATGTCCCGCACCGTCAATCTGGTCTCCCTCTTCGCTAAAATCTGCAAGGAAGTAGGCGCCTAGTAGAGCGTTAATACGTTTCCATCGAGTTATACTGCTCATACATACGGCCCTCGAATTCTGGATGAGTGGTCTCGATACCGGTATCGACGACATATCTGCGTTCGCTGTATAAGCAAAGATCAGAGATTTCTAAGATGGCTGGCGACATACACGCATGTGCCTTCGCCAGCAGTGGAATCGTAAAGGTAATTATTCTGACCAGGCTCAATGTGCGAGATTCGACCCAAGCCCCACGTAGCGTTCACCTGTGTCTTCGTTTCGAACATGTGGACCCTGGCATCTTGTTGGATATAGTCAACCTAGTCATGTTAGTATGTACATGTCAATACAGATGTGTATCTTGCATGCTCAGAAGCCTGGAGTCGAGTAAGTTCCTGATCCGAGATGCTGCCAGCGAAACCCCTGAAGCTAGACATCGTGTATTTGAAATCGATATTGGCGGCAATTGGAGCTGTCAGGTCCTCCTCAGCTTTTGATGTAACATCGCCTTTGAGCTTCACAATGTATTTTCCAGCAACAGCATCTGTACTGTCGACCTTGATCAATGGAGCAGCAAATGCCGAAGAAAGCAGAACGAGAAACAGCGGTGTATACATGTTTCGATATGATTTGGGTAGAGGTGTTGGGACGAGTGGAAAAGACTTTGAAGAGAGGGCGAAGGATCGGATGTTTCTGGTTGAGTTGTACCTGCATCAGCGGCAGAACTGCGTTTTAAACACCAACGTTGTAGAACATGCCCAAGTGCCAGAGGCGGCAGACTTCTTTGATAGCCAATGGCGTGGTTCGGCAGATCACGTATAACGAACAGAGCGCGTGCACCTACGTAGTGGGACGTTTTACGAACCACGTTTGAGCATGCTGTTCGACGAGCCCACTTAACGTTACAACACCAACAACGGTACGGGAGATACGGTTATCTGATGGTATGTATGCTTGTGGTTGATAGATTCAGCGCCGATAATTGTGCTTGTGGTTCTTTGGTGGCGTCATATTGCCACATTCTCTACTGCTTGGTCGGTTCGTCTTAAGATGATCATCTTGCAAGTTATTCAGTCGGTCATCTGAAGGATTTAGTGTTCTCCGAGGAAGGTACGATGTTACTCGGAGGGGTATAAAACACCAAGATAACCAGAGGGATGGACTTCGGGAGACAACACGCAATCGAAACTACGGTGCTGTATGGTGCCGAAGAAACCTTTTTGTTGACGACATGGTCTCCAATGCGCCAAGATGTGAGCTTAGCATCCCATCAAAGGGATACGAATCACGAAAGAAGGCTTTTGTGATTCTCCTAGATCCATGTCTTATTGCATGGTATATGCGGGCGGGTAAGTCTGAAGTCGAACAGAATTCGATAAAGAACAGGTATCGGTAGTACCACCGCAGTCAGAGCGTTGTGGAACATAACCTGCTTTGTTGTGATTTCCTACATGTTATCTTTGTCGTACCCGATGGGCGCTAGAATGTCGCTTCTCATCATAGGTGGAAATGATTGGTCGGGAACCAGCAATCTAATCATCAGCGTCACAAGTGCTCGTCAAGAAGTTAACTCGCGGGACAACATCAAGCAGCTGATAAAAGTGTTGTTCAGTGCAAGGTGAAGAATGATGCATGTGCAAGGCACCCATGTCAGGTTGTCAGATATGCGCCACTGCATCGTCAGACTATGCATCCGTAGGCTCGCATGTTGGTACGAAAGGTATCGTTGGAGTCTCGCAAGAGTTTGCTATTCCCGTTGACAACCACTCGTTCGTGCGGGAACATAGTAGCCAAACCATGCTGCCAGGAGCATGAGCATGCGGGCTTTTTCGTTCCACGGAGGAGCTTTGACAAAGAACAAAGACTAGTCATTCGTATGGTGTTGTTTTTGACGCAAACATGTGACACAGACTCAGTGTAGTTGTAAGACTAGATGATGGAGCGACGGTCTTTGGAATCGCCTTCGAAAGACAGGCATCATGGAGCACTGGCTATGGTTCCTAGGGGTGTATACCGCACGAGGTCCTTTAAGCGACTTTGTACATATGCTTTCTCTGGATACAACCGAGTACAGCGGGTCCTGAGTGTAACACAACGCACACTATCGGCGAATAACACAACATGCCTTCTTTACCATCCCAGCCGGTCAAGGGGTTCCGTCGATGCCTGAGCTGCGATGATGATATTTTCGGTCGAGAGTAGAGGACCCTCCGAGGGTTTCCTGATTGGCAATTCGTGTCCGAATAAGACACGGAGTGACAGGGTTATCTTGCGAAATGAGGTATCTTGATGAAGCTGCATTGATTAGATGCTCTTCATGAAACAGCAAGTCGACCCGGAAACTGTAATGCTATGGTGTCGACAAGCTGGTTTCTAGGGTGGCGTTCGAAGAGCAGCATATGATCTACTACGTGTGAGCAGATGGGGGCAAAATGGGCAGCTCGATGGATGGAAGGCCCACTTGCTGAGCATGTATAAAACAACAACCTCCATGCCACCCATTTCTATACGACTTGGCACTTGTTGGCTTTGCTTGGCAGGGCGGTGCCGCACGGCGTAGCCGTAACTCAGCTGGCGAGAGCCAACGATCGCGCGCTTACTCCGCTACACGAGAAGCTCTCCCATCGCGCATTCCGATACATGTCATGTGTGAAGTACTTTGCGGCAATCTAGTGCTGTTTATTTTTTCGTTGTTCTTTGTTTTGTTCGTTAACAATCAGGATTGCGGCTGAATCTAAAGGAGTAGTTGCGCATCAGGTACGTCATCCAAATCCAGATCCGCTGACGCGCGTTGTTCAAAGTCGGGTACAGTTATACTCCGTCGCGATCATCGGGTGCTGTCTATAGTCAGGCTATTCAGCCATGTTCAAGGTCGTATCGTTGTGTAAGTAATTATGCGCAAGTAGAGCGGCAGTTGGGATACAGAGTTGGTGGCGCTCGATTGTACGGAAGTCTCCACCCACCTAGGCCCGTGCATCACGGCGGAAGGATGACGGCTGCTGCAGCCTCAGCCGCGATATCTCCTTTTTGGAAATGTGGGGCGAGATCGAATATTCCGATGACCACGCTGATCAACCTTGGGCCAACATAGCATCGAGAATGCAGGGAGGGTTGAAGCCCTGTGGCCGCATGCAGCTAGCTATGTGTGATCTTATGTGGTACTTGGGGAGGCTTCTGTTGACAACTGTCAAACAAAGAACAAATAGTACCAGACCTCGGGAGATATTCGTCTGGTGCAAGATCACAATGACTCACGTCGTAAACCTACCCAGGATTCACATCAGGATCGCTGGACGCCAGATCATTTGCGGAATAGATTGAAAGTATTTAATTAGGTACCTTGTTAGTCCACAAGGATGCATCTATCAGCAGACCCTGCATAAAGCCATCTAAGGGCATGTTGATGGGGCGCCGTTATACTAATGCACAGGGCTGCGCCTCCGGAAGCCACCTAGGCCGCAGCATAGTCAACTGTACCCCCTCAAAGTAACTGAGGACAATATGAAACACATGAGGATCAGCAGTAGCCTGAAGCCTGGTTCGTGGCTGAAGCCACCAGTGCAAGTACGTTAGTCGCGGTGATACAAACTCTGCTTTCGTCACATCGGTCTCCGCATTCGAAAACCGCGGTAACGGGATTGTACTCGCATCTTCGTCATCCGGACTTTGTTGGAACGATCATGATCCTGGTCATCAGCATCTAAGGCGGGGCATGCACGGCATCTGAGAATGGCCTGAATGATTTGACTTAACAACTTGAATATGCACTGATGCTACTAGCTACGAGCTGGAAGAATCTCTGCCACATTTACAGCAACCACCATCATAAGTTCGTAAGAAAAGAAGGAGGGAAATCTTCAACCTCTATCAATGCGCAAATGCCTCAGATAACAATGCAAAATGCTCATGAGAACCCGCTATGAAAGCAATAGCTTAACCGCTGGGGTTGCCGTTGAAGGCAAGGTAGTTCTTGGTGCTGGAGGGAAGACCAGTGATCTTGTTCCTCAGCGAAAGAGCAGTAAGGCGGGAAGAAAGGGCGGCAGGGGTCTTCTTGCCCTCGAGACCTAGGATGTAGGCACCGAGACCAGCAACGTGGGGAGTGGCCATGGAGGTACCGGAGATGGTGTTCTTTGTAATATTAGCTTTTGATCTAAACGTCCACATAAATGGTTGAACTTACAGTGCCGCCGTTGAGCCAGGTGGAGAGAATGGATACACCGGGAGCAAGGATGTCAACAATGGAACCGTAGTTGGAGAAGGAGGCGAGACGGTCCGAGCTGTCGGTGGCACCAACAGTGTAGACAGTGGGTTCCGATGCAGGCGAGGAGTTGGCAGCATCTTGAGCCTCGTTACCGGCAGCAACAGCCATGAAGACACCAGCGGTGACAGCGTTGGCTGCAGCAGTGTTGACAGCGGTAGAACGGGATCCACCAAGAGACATGTTAGCAACAGCACCGTTGGGGCAGCTGCGAGTCTTGACATCATTGGCGACGTAGTTGATTCCGGCAATGACACCTGAGTTGGTACCCTTCAAATGGTTAGCAAGGCATTTGCACTGTGAAACGCATATCCACTTACAGAACCACTGGCGTCGAGGACCTTGACAGCGTAAAGCTTGGTCTTCTTGGCTACACCGTAGGTCTTGGATCCAATGGTACCGGCGCAGTGGGTGCCGTGACCGTTGCCATCAGTGTTTGAGCCATCGCCAGCGTAGTTGGCGAGGAAAGTAGCACGGCCCTCAAACTCGGGGTGAGTAGTGGAGATACCAGTGTCAATGACATAGGCGCAAGTACCAGCGCCGGCAGAGTCATCGTAGGTGTAGGAGCTGATACCCTTGGCCTGGTGGGAGATACGACCAAGACCCCAGGTAGAAGAAGACTGAGTGACGTAGGCCTTCTTCTCGAGGTGGATCTCGCCCAGGTTGGCCTTGACAACGGCATCCTGCTCGATGTAGTCGACCTATATTATATCAGTACTCTGAGAGTCATTTTCAGGGCCGATAAGCTTACACCGGGCAGGTTCTGAAGCAGCTCAACAATGTCATCAGCCATATCAGCAGTGAAACCACCGAAGCCGGCGAACTTGTAGACATGGACAGGGTCCTTCTTGAGAACCTTCAAGGCAGCGTCGATCAGAGCCTGGAGGTTCTCATTCTTCATCTTGACGATGTATCTTCCGGGGATAGGACTGCCAGCACGGGGAACGATGACTGGGGCGGGAAGGGCAAGAGCCACGGGCAGAAGTGCGAGAAGAAGTGAGAGCTTCATGTTGACGGATTGATCGAAGAATGAGATCGTTGGAGCGAAAGACGAAGAAGACTGCTGATGATGGGCTGAGTGTTGCTGTGCTCGTGGCCTGGTGATCTGGAAGGGCGTCTGATACCTCTTATATAGATCCCTTTGACAACCTGGTGTTGAGACGAAATGGCAGGAGGCAAATGCACCTTCCAATTAGGATTAGCAACCACCGACCAAGCGATCTCGTGCCATGCCGACATACCTAGAGCAACGGTACAAGGTGTTGTTGGTCGCTAGAATGGCTTGAGATGGCGTTTGTACACGTTCGATACCTTATTGGGTAGGTGCTACAGTGTGTTCCGGCACTACTACCAAGGTTGCTTCCAAGACACCGGAGTAGTGGTAATGGAACGGGCGGAAAGTCTTAGAGAAGGAGGAGGATACTGTGAGGAGCGGGTCAGATGCGCAGCTCTTGGCATGATGCACTTTAGATTAACATGCTTACTAGTTTAGGGATGTGAATAACGTCGCGTAGAGATTCAACGTAGAAAGCCTGCACGATGGCGCGATTGGACGAGGGTGGATCGATCTGCAGCCCCTTGTGAGAATCCTGATAACGGCGTAGACGCGATGAGAGGGCTGGTGTCGAGCCAAATGTCAAATGAAGCTGTTTCATGCAGTATCGATGCCCGGGATTCATCAGGTGTGTCCTACAGGATTTGTCTGTGGGTCGCAGTTCCACAGGTCCTATTCGACTCGGGCATCGCTCGCTTACCCATCTCGGATCAAGTGAGCCAGCATGATCTGTGTTCCTTTGGTATCCCTGAACCTCTGTCCCAAGGGTACGGGACGAGCCGCCACTGTGTTGGTAGGCTGTATGTACACTCACATGCCGACGCAACCTACAATTAGTTACTGTACAAACAGCACTAGTACAGAGGGATCATCGAACTGGATCTACGATTGGCGGGAGCCAGAATTGGTCGACACAACGACATGAACAAGAAGAGTGGGTTAGGGATATTGTTGGACAGCATTTGGGTATATCGTTACCTTCAGCCTTGTATCCTTTTCCATAGCTGCATGGATGTCCAATCTCCCTAAAGTGGATCACCAATAGAACTAGGCCCAATCACAACAAAGTTGTTTGCGTCTTTGACTTCTCGGCAGCTGGGTGAATTGCTCCTATACCGATTCCATTTCAGGCGGCAAAGGGACGTGATTTTGATCTAAACCAATCAGATACTCGATCTTAACTTTATTTAGCGGGCTTGGCGGGACCGGCAATGTAGCCATCCTATCACGGCGCTATCCGGCAGCACTGCATCGTGGCATCATGCTTTTTTCTAGTCCTGGAATGCTTAAACGTATTGAACATGCGGTGCTCAACTGTTATGATCTGCAACAGCGACAGCGCCCCCATCCGCTGGCTATCCAAGGCCCGCTAGTAGTGAGCTTAAAATCACGTAGCTGCTGAAACCACCTCCTTCTTTAGGAATTAGCACGACGCAGACCAATATAGTTAACCTGGCCCTTAGCCACACCTCAGATAAGGCGACAACGGGATAGGAGAAATGGGCGAATGGTGAGCCACGATATGTTGGGTAGCGCTCTTGCATGCGGAATGATGCGATCGCTTTGGAAAGTTGTCATGTCCCACGCTGGTCGCGTGCAAGGCCCTTGTTCGTTCCGAGCGGATTTAGGCCAGAGCCAGAAACAGTAGAGGCACGAGGCCTAGACAGCCAGCCCACTCAACGGTGAGACTATGAGTCCAAGGAAAGTACGGCGGAGAGGCGGTATTCCAAGCCACTTCATAGCGACCGCGGGCCTTTGCTGAGCTGGCGCCTCTGGCTGTGTCGATCACGATGTGGCCGGCGAATGTGGGCGAGGCGAAGCGTCTCCTGCCTTTTGCGTATGGTCTCCGCTCACTAAGATGACCTACCAGCCGTCTTCGCGGCTGGCAGAGCCATGAGAGGTAAAGGGGTGTGGTGTAGTGTTTTGAAGTGGTTCCCCTAAGGAACAATCGGCACGCTTCCATTCAAAGCCCGGAGGTTGATCGGTGCCGAGGTGCTGCCGTGCGCACGTGTCTCACGCACGGTGCAGGCCGAACTCGCTTTCAATCTCACGGCATTCGCTGTGGTCACAACACATCACCAGCCGCCTTCGGGCAAGCCTTTCTGTCTTGCCCAGCTCAGTTCGAGTACCACGCAATGGCCCATTCTTCGACGATTCGCCATGACCTTCTCTCAATAAGGAACAGTTTACTGCCCAGATGACTACTGACCATCGGGTACTGCACCACGGATGGTTAATCACATGCGAGTACATGGGAGTTCCTCATGATGCATTGATAGCCGACCGCATATTTGCACTTGAATGTACTGACAAGACTCTCAAGCAAAAGTGGTGACAATAAGCGTGTACTAACTGTTGGACAACTCACCGCAATCATACCTAGGGACGCCAGACAATGCTCATCGAGCTGTTGGTCTACAAGCTTGGAAGAGGCAGGTTCACAAGTTACCCCAGCTTATGAAAATAATACGGTTGCTTTCAATCCCCGCTTCAAGTATTGTGCATAGGCCATGCGATCCTATCTTTGGAGCGCCTTCGCACCCTTCACGATACATACGACTTCGTACAGATGCGCACCACGTTTGATCTCCAATACTCGCCGTTCTTTCTGCCGCCCTAGTCACTCCAACGGTTAGCCCCCCAAGCAGGATCTCCCGTGATCTCCTCGTATCTCAGACCCTGCGACGATCTCATGCGGGAGATATGGACCTTCCTTGAGCGTCAAAACTCCACCCGATGCCAAGAACGCAATCGCACCCAGCGCTTACTTCGGACCATGACCCCACGCCTCCGCCATGGAGTTGCTGCATGGTATTCGTTAGCTGCACGCGCGAGGAATGCTGGCTTGTGTTAGCTTACATCTTCTATATCTAAGGCGCTAAGCTCTTCTCTTGGCTCAGGGATTACCTCTTATCCAACTATCATGCAGGTACACCTGCTGACAACGCGGGCTTTACTGCTGATCGACTGTACAGCCAGCTCCTGGCCATTTCGCCGACCACACCCACAGCAACAAACCCTCGTCTCGAAATCCAAGGTCACCTTCCTCATCCGTCTGAATCAATAGTCGACACTCGAGAGCACCTTGTTGAGGTCAGTGTTGCGATAGCGCCACACTCGCCACATCTCAGCCATTTCTATGCAGAGGTGAACTTGACAAGTGTTTACCTACAAGGAAGCTTGATCGAGCTGTTCAGTGTTCGCAGCTGGAGGGTAATGTATGCTCCTTTTCCGCTCGTCATCACAGGTTGTAGTAAAATCTGTAGGTATCGTTGCAAACTCAACGCCACAGCATCAGCATCACTAGCCACAGAACGTCCTATGTTCCGAATGTATCAATCATAGGTTCTGCGCGCACGGAGAGCATGGTAGCTATTTGGTAGGACTCAAGCCTTACCTTAACCGGCGATGTGAACCGGTGGTAGCAGAAGGTGTGTCCTTCATTACGTTGGAGCCGCCCACCACCCCATCTTTTCGGTCAGGAACCGAAAGAAACGTTCCGCCCAGTTCCTGGTGGGTCAAATATACTTTTCGAGCTTCCAACTCAGGACTCGTACCACGGGTGATCGGTAAGAGTCTTTTTAGCCTCTCGGAAGTCATACACGTACGGTCTCTGGAAGCTCCGTTGGGTTGTATAGCCACGTATAAGGCTATGCAGTGGCTGAGTTGCTCACTATATCATTGGTGGGATTAATCAGCTACGTAGGCACAGCTCAGGCACGACTTGGCATCAAGTACATGGTTTGTTTGCAAGAAGCCCACACTTGAGACAGGTGTACGACGTTCTAGTCCTTTCTTACCCCAAAGCAATACGTACGCCGATCAACGGCCATCAATTTCCTGTTCCTCATCGCCGATCCCTACCAATCTGCTTCCTCGTCTCCTTATACCTGTTTCTGCATCTCGCCTCTTCGTACCCCCAGTCTCTCGCTATTCTGATCGTCCCGGAGCACGACCTACATACTCCACCCTGCATCATGCAAGCAAGCAACTCTCTATTGGATGTGTGTGAGCGCATATAGCGCCACCAACACAGGTCGACCTCCGTTCCTGACACGGGCCGGCCCATGTTTCTGGAAGGAGCAAAGAACCATGCTCACGTGCATTATCGAAACACCTTTGCATCATGCAGAATAAGCCTCAATGAGTGCTGGACAAGCCTTGATAAGAAGGCGGATGCGGTCTTGGCGGGGTTGGCGACCTTCCGCTCCTGGATGCACCGGCGGCTACATGTTTGAGGTACTCCAGTGTCCAGAGCACATGGTATCCAATCTGATTGAATTAACATGAGCCTCGGCAAGCCGTACAAAGAGCAGTATCGGATTCGTAGCAGCTCGAGAAATCCTTGAATTGGAGCTCACGACATCAGAAGTCAAGCAAAAGGATATTGTCATGGTCATTCAAGCTCCGCTACGTGTCCAAATAGTTTGAAATTTGCCAAAGCATCCCCGCGTCATACGAGGTCGATCATTGTTTCTTGTGTTTTATGGTATCCGTCAAGAATACTGCGCAGTATAGGCGTCTTCTTATCGAAATCTGTATAGATGAGCATTCTAGAGTCTGCCTCGATGGCAAAAGAACCGACGCGTTCGTAGCTCCCACTTTGAGTCCGGCTTGGTGTAATCAAGATGGCCTGTACATATCCTTCTCCCACTGATCCGTAGCAGCAATGGCGAAGGACGACTAGACTGACTTCGCAACCTAAGTCATCTAGGTCCCATTTCGTAGTATCGTCAAGGATCATAGTATTATCGTATGGCTCCCACGTTGAAGCAGCCGACTCTGGCGGAAATATCAATATTGGGCGACATCTCAATGTCATGGAAGCGTGAACGAGCTCTCCAGAAGGCCTTTGGTCTACAAGTAAAGTCTCGATCGCAGCCATGTCGTAAGCTGGTTTTGACTTTCTATTGATACCAGACCACGGTACCCAGCGCTCTACAGGATGGCTGATACTCGCCCAACTCCAGGTTGGTGCACGCCAAACATTAGACCTCAGGGCTTTTTCGGCTGAGTATGAACTGATTCGGATCGGCTTTCGTGCCCAGCACATGTCTTCGATGAAGCGACCTCGCCACAAGCCAGCGACCAGGGTGTCGTTCATCGCTCCAGCGACATCCTGTGCGACACCGTTCAATGCAACGAGTATATCTTTTGCCATGGTCAGGGCAAGTCCAGAGTAACTGCGTCTGAAAGCACACCAGTATTCGTAAATTCTGAATAAGTAATCAAGGTCTGTTTCGATCGTGCCTGAGGTTTTGGGGATCATCTTAATTTTGTAATCGTTGACCCACCATTTCAAGCCTCGGCCTATGAAGCCATCGGGCGAATAAGATCTTCTCTCAGAATGGTAGTTGTGGCCTGGATTTTGTTCGCTAGTCAATTCCTCATGGCATTCCCAGTAGATCAACTCCTGCGTGAAATGGAAGATTCCGGTACTCAGGTAACGTTCCTGCGCAACCCATGCTCTTTTGTTCAAAGGTGCAGTATTGAGGATCTGTTCAGGCGTGTTCACATCAGGAATAACTGTATAGGCCACTAGGGGTTCTCTCGTGTTCTGTCCATAAAGGCGATCCCTGCTGGTTTCAACTCGCATAGATAAAAGGGCTTGCGGATCTCTGTTGAAGAAGAGACCGGCATCACTATTCTGAGCGGCGGAGGCCGCAATGCAACATACGGCCTGACTATAGACTTCTCGCATACGAGCAGCCTCTCTCTGCCAGTCTTCCGGATCATCTTGTATGATACACCTAGGGGGCGTTAGAGATACCAAGATGGGTTGCTTCATCTGCAACGTACAGCGAATCGATCCAAAGATACTGAATTTGCATCTTTCGAGCTACGTAGATGGCATCCTGGAAGGTTTTAGGAAGATCTGTCAATTGTATGCCTGCTCTAAGGCGCGCAACTGTTGCTCGTGTTAGTTTGAAAGGCTGAGAACCTCCCCAACAATGTGACAGCGCGATATATGGCATCATTTTGACGCAGTCTTCGTTTTGAAGAAGGCAGATCGTCGAGGCTTCGGCGTAGCCTACGTCAAGCACTCTTGTGGGCACAAAAGCGCTCACCTCTTGTCTGCTCTGCCTGATCTTCCAGCATTCGGTATGCGTAGCTCGGCACCGCCTCAGTTGTGACAAGGCAAAGCTGATACAGGCTTCGCTGCCGGTATTATCGGCAGTGAGACTCGTATCTACATCCAATAGACCTGAATGAGCTGGCAGATGCCCTTGCGACAGGTTGGTATCTTTTTCAGGCACCAGGTGTAGGGGAACGTAACTCCCATTACAAATGAACCAGAGGGACATTCTCTCTTCTCGGTCTGCCTCGAATTGAGTTACATATTCCGTTGGAGCGACCTGGAATGGACCGCGTGAGCGATGACCTGTCCGGGTGTCAGTCAGTGGTACATAAAGGATCCCAGACGGGTTGGTCATACGCAAGTCGCGATCAATCTCAACTTTTAGACGTCTACATATTCCGCAAGACAATGCAAGGGCTTCCTGAAACGACTCAGGCGTTGCATGATGGGTAAAATACAACTTTCCGTTTGTCTCCTCTGTGCGAAGTAAAGTATTTCTTCCTGAGAGTAGTCTTTGACACGGACCACAAAGCACTTGGTCTGACGAAACGAACAGCTTTGAGGTATGGAATGTAGTAGTGTCCATTCGTAAGGGTTCATGTACGCGGACAAAGTAGGCCATGGTGGATCGTTAGTCAGGCAACGGCCAGACTCAAAGCCGATGTGCTCTTGTTCAGAGCAGAGTTGCTAACAATCAATCCAAACTGATGAGACTGACTGACTGACTGATTGCTTGGCAGTCAGTTCAGTGTCAGTTTAGAGCTCTCGTCTTATCAGTCAGTTCAGTTTAGAGCTCTTAAACTGA